ACCCAGGAGCCCCAAGGAACTCTGTATTAATTTTGCAACTTTTCTCTAAGTCTAAAATTAGTTAAAAAAAATTAAGTTAGGGGCGCCTGGGTGGCTCAGGCAGTTAAGCGTCTGTCTTTGGCTCAGGTCATGATCCCAGGGTCCTGGGATCAAGCCCCGCATTGGGCTCCTTGCTCAGTGGGGAGCCTGCTTCTCCCTTTGCCTGCTGCTCCCCCTGCTTGTGTTCCCTCTCCCTCTCTCTCTGACAAATAAAAAAATAAAATCTTTAAAAAAAAATGCACAAATTAGGCGTGCCTGGGTGGCTCAGCCATTAGGTATCTGCCTTTGGCTCGGGTCAGCATCCCAGAGTCCTGGGATCGAGCCCCGTGTCTGGCTCCCTGCTCAACGGGAAGCCTGCTTCTCCCTCTCCTACTCCCCCCTGCTTGTGTTCCCTCTCTCGCTGTCTCTCTGTCAAATAAATAAATAAAACCTTTTAAAAAAATACACAAATTAATGCTGACCACTTAAAAACAAAAGTATGGGAGGAGGAGGGGGTTTATTGGTCCACATAACTGAGAGGGGCTGGGGTATATGGAATGCAGGCAAAGCTGGATCCAGCAGCTTAATGGTCAGGAGTTGCCTCCATCTCTCCTGCTTTTGCTTCTGGTGTGATAGCTTCATATTCAGGCAGCCCTATCCCTTGTGGTGGCAAGCAGCCTGCCAGATTTCTAGGCTGATATTCTGCCATTTTAGCCGCCCAAGAGTTTGTATTTCTCAAAAGTCCTGTTTTGTTCACTGATGTATCCCTAGCATCTAAATTGGTGTGTTGAATGAATGGCTCCATCCAAAGTCCTGAGACTGACTCCCATTGGTTCAGACTGAATCGTGTGCTCACCTCCAACCCAATCAGTGTGACTTACTTTACCTGGGTCACATGGGTAGAGTCAGCTCCCCACCCCCTCAACACGGACTGAAATAGAAGGGCAGAAACCCAAAAGGAAACAACGGATCCTAGTATCAGAGGGGTTGCTGGCAAACCAATATGTCCCCCAAATCCTTAGAATGCAGGGCTACTGCTCTTTCTCCTAGTGTCATCCACAACATAGACCTACACTGAAAATGTACAGGCTTAAATTCTTGTGGGTGCTGGGTGTGCTGAGCTCCTTAACTGCAGCCTCAGCATAACCCTCACTAATGGAATATAAGAATAGGGCTTATTTCCGGGATGCTGGGCTTCTGCAGCTGGATCAGATGGGCTTGGGGGTCAGGTAAGGGAAACCAGCATGGCCAAAGATGCCAGAACCCCAGGATTCCTTCCTGGCCAAGACAATGGGCAGTTCCAAGCCTGGAGCCCTTCTAGTCTCTCTCTTGCAACCCTAGCCAGGAGCCTCAGATCCAAGGTCTCATTTGTTCATTTGGATTGGCCCGGGATGGGGAAAGAGTCAGGGCTAGCCTGAACACTGGGACGCCTCAGATGAGTGCCTTATGCCTTGTGAGGAATATCCAGTAGAAGACTCCAGAGTCTCAGCTCCCAGTCTCACCCAACCCACCAGCTGACTCCCAAACCACTCTCCATGTCTTCCACATCTTCTCCCACACCTGCAGGAACAGAGGTTGGAGTAGGGCAGAGTGCCCACAGAGAAGAGGTCTGACTTTTGTGTTTTTCAGGTATTTTATTAAGAATAAGGCATATGACAGTCACCCCTAAAGCATAGGGCTCTATTTCTGTGGGTGAGTGAGTACACTCTGAAAAGCATTGGATTAAAAAGCACAGCCAACAGAGAATTTGGAGCAGGATCCCTCTGCCCCACCCACGGAGCTCCTGCCAGGTGGTTCGGAAGCCCCGCATGTCCCCCATTCAAGGCTGGCACCTCAGGGAGAGGGTGCTCAGGGATCCCCAGCTCTCTGCACTAAAGAGATGCTGTTCCACACCCTCCTGGCCTCCTTCCTCTCCATTGGGAGACCTCTATTCTGCTGCTGATTTGGGGAAGGGCTACCCCATTTCAGCCCTGGAGTGGTCCCCCAAACTGCAGACCACTGTGGGTGGGATATGGGGGGCAGGGGTACGGAGCCTCATGCTGAATTGCCCACTGGTCCCTCCAGAACAGGGAGGGGTTCCCACCTGCAGCTCTCCTTCCTGGGTCTGTCCACACTTCGGGTGTGGCTGGACCTCCACCTAGGGCATAGTGGTGTTCTTGTCAACATGCCCCTCCCCCAGTGGGGATTTGTGCTGCCGAGAAGAGGGGAGGAGGGGAGAGGAGACACAATCCTTTCTATTCTAGTCACTCAGACCGTCCCGGGGCTTATGGGAGGGGGCTCTTTCCTTTGGCAGAGTGGGTCCCCCAGGCCAGAAGAGGGAGAGGGCTGGAGGCTAAGGAATTTGGGGCTCCTGAGGCCAAGGGCAGGCTACTGACTCCCTGTCCCATTCTGCTGCACTGAGGGGTCTGTTCCAAATCCCAGGGGGCGGGTGGATAGAGGGAAGTCTTTAGTCCATTATTTCCAGGAGAAGAACGGGGAAGAGGAGTTTGTTAAAACAAAACTGGAAACCTCCATCTGCTTCAGCCCCTCCCCCAGCTTGCTAAGCGGAGGAGAAGGGCGGTTGGCTCATTTCCTTTCCCAGACCCTCAACAGCCCAGGTGAGAGTCAGCAAGTCAGCCGCCCCAGCACTCTCAGAACCTTTCATCTGGGGGATCTCCAAGCACCCCACAAATAATTAAGTGTCATTATAGCTGGTCGCTCGGAAGAGAGATAGGAGTTCGGAGGTGCTGATGGGGTCACTTGGGGAGAGGCAGGCGGGCCACCGGAGGCTCCCTGGGGTAGGGGTGTGGTAGAGGCCCCCAGCTAGACACCCTGGGCCCCCAGGAGGGGAGGGGGGGAAAAGGGCTATTGCTATAGAGCTGGGGGGAGGCCAGGCGGGCATAGCTATGGCTTTTAGTAGGTGCGTGGGTGGATAAAGTATGTCACCCTCTCTGTCGAAGAATCAACATAACAAAGTCACCCTGTTTACCCCAAAAGTGTGGCTGTGGAAGCTCAGGGTCTGGGTGGGCTGCTCCAGAAAGACACCCTTTCCCTCCTTCCCACACAGTCCTTTGGGCCCCTTCGAGAGAGTGCAGCCAAGAGAGAAGAGAGGTGTCCTCACACAGACACCTCTGGAAGGTAGGCAACAGGACCAGGGGTACAGGGTGTCACACGCACCTGAGGGGGGACATGGAGGGCAGAGGCACAGATGGGGCAGGAGAGGAGGGTAAGAGGCCAGGGCAGGCAGAGCAAGGGCCCCAGGCCACCACCACTGTGGCCCAACTTAGACTGAGAGAGAGAGAACACTGTCTGTCCCAAGGGCGTCCACACCTTGGCTGGACACCCGGATGAGGCCTGGTTATTGCTCAGCGGTCTCAGCAGTCCTGAGTGCAGTCAGCTGGGGGAGGACAGCATATTTGTGGGGGCTGGGAGTGTGCTCACTGGTTTTGCTTCTTGCCCATTGATTTCCCACACCCTCTGACCTACACAGCGAAAGGGAACACGATTGCGGGTTCCTCCGGTTCATGACAGGGACTATGATGGGAGAAGCGTTCACCACCCCTAGAGATGGACTCTGCTCATCTCCCAGACCCTGGGTGCCGCACAGAATGCTTGGCCTCAGCCAGGGCAAGGCGTGCCAGGATGCGCTATCTGTGAGTGAGGTAAAGGCCTCTCCCTGCCCCCCACACTCCCTCAGCAGCCCCTGGAAGACCTCACAGGCACTTAGGACTCAATGCAGGACCAACAGAGGAGGCATGGCATGGGGAGAGGGGCTCTAGGGTTTGTCTTTCTAGGGGCTGGGCTTGCGGTGGGGGCCACTTGTTGGACTGGACCTGCACTCCCTGCCTTTGGTCAGGAGAGGGGAGCTGGGGAGAAAGTAGTTAGGAGGTGGGGTGTCCCACTTTCCATTTCACCACTCCCCATCCTAGACAGAAGGGTTACACTGAGCACAGGCCACTGTCACCTCTGGTAGGACTGGGGGCCTCCCTGGAGGGGACCAGCCTGGGGACTAACCTGTGCTCTTACCTCCTCCCTCAGCAAACTCAAGCCTCTATCCACCACTGCCACTTCCAGGAACCTGGCCCTTCTTCCCACCTCCGGGTGCAGCTGGGCAAAATTAGCACCAATAGACAAGACTAAGAAAGCTCCCAAGGCAGCCTTCACGTTCCCAGCTACCTCCCGCAGGGGAAGGCAGTTTCTGCCCTTCCAAAGCCTGACTTGGGGGGCGGCTGACTCGGGCTGACTCGGCAGTGTCCCCCTTGCTTCCCTAGCACAGCTCCCAGCCGAAATCCTCAGGTGGGCGTCCTGGGGAAAAACCTAACTGGAGACAGCTTTAGACCAGGTTCTGCCATCGAACCCATTCTGTACTCCTCTCCAGAAGTTCAAACCTCCATCACGTCACACTTTCCCTACCAGGGACACTGGCAGGAAATGCCTTTAAAGAGTCGGGTGCTCTCCGGTAAGGACCTATCAGCGGGGTAGGGGTCGGAGAAGCGGCGTCAGAGGAAAAAGGTCCAGCCGCCAGCCCGGAGCCCGAACCTCCCCTCGAAGGCAGGCTTGGCGGGAAGGGCAGCCGTGCGGGAATGGGGGAGGGCCAACACGGGAGCTGGAAGGCCTAGGGGTGCTAAGTGCCACTGCGTTCCTTTCGTAGGCCAGCCCAGCCTTCCCCCTCGCGTCCCGCGATTGTCCGCTTTCCCGGGACCGGGCGCGCCCCCCGCCCCTCCCCTCCCCGTAGCAGATAAGCCTCCGCACTGCGAGTCCTTGCCACAAAAGAAGGTGCACTCTCTCAGCCCCGCCGAGGAGCCCCCTCGGGGCAGGACAATACAAAAAGGCTGGGGCGGTTGGAAGGGGTGGGGGTGGGGGAGCTGGGGCCGCCTCCGCTCGCTCCCTGGAGGAGCGCCGGCTCCCGCGGCCCCCCCGGGACCTGCCTGCGCGGGCCCAAGCTGCGTCCCTAGCCGGAGGCCGAGCCGGCCTTCCCCACTCCCCGCCCCGCAGCCCCGTGCCTACTCCGGCTCCCCGGGAGCGCTGGGCGGGCTGGGCGCGGCCGCCGGGCTGGCTTGGTCCGGGGGCTCCTGGGGAGGCGGCTGGCGCGGGCTGCGGCCGCTCGGCCTCGGGGGCCTCCGGGCATAGAGGAAGAGCGCGGGGTCGGGCATGGGGTCGACGTCGTCCAGGGCGCGGGCCGCGCGCTCCCAGGCGGCCCAGTCCCGGCCCGGGCCCTTGGCTGCGGCCTCGGCGGCGGGCGGGCGGCGGGCCCGCTGTGCTCGCCGGCGGGGCCGGGGCTCGGCGGCGGCGGCGGCGGCGGCGGGGCCCGGGCGCTGAGTCTGCAGTCTCTGGCGCGCCGCGTGCAGCTGGCAGGAGAGGTAGGCGGCCGCCTCGGTGTGCTTCTGCAGCTCGGTGCCCAGCACGGTGGCACGGTGGCTGCGGCGCCGCAGCTCCTCCAGGAAGCGGCGCTCCTCCGCGCGCAGGCTGCAGCGCAGCGCCGACACCAGCGCCTCGCGCTGCGCCACCTCCCGCCGCAGCTCGGCGTTGGCAGCCGTCCGCGCGGCCAGCTGCGACTCCAGCGCGCGGCACTTGCTCTCCAGCTCCCGGGACGCCGCCTCTGCGGGGGAGGGGGGGGAGAGATGGACAGGAGAGGTGATGGTCTCCGCCTGGCCGACCCTGCACAGCTCGCCGAGCCACGTTACCGAGCCCCGCACTCCCTCCGCACTCCTCCGCTACGCTGGCCTTCCTTTTCTCCTCCTCAGGGCCCTGGCATCTATCCTACCCTCTGGCCTAATTCATCAGGCTTCAGCTTAAATGCAAACCCCTCCCTGACCATTTATGCACCCCACAAATATCTGTTGAACTCTTACTATATGCATTGTGCTAGGCATAGGGAATATGGTGGATAATAAAACATTCCTCATGAAGCTTACAGCAAGCATAGTGGGAGAGGTATGGTACATAATCACAAATGAATGTGAGGTTGCATCTGTGACTTGTGCCAGTGCCATGACTCACAGGAGACTGTGACCTAATCAGGCTTCGCAACAGAAGAGCCACTTAGGCTAGCAGGAGTTGGAAGAATGAGTTGGAGTTAAGCACTGAAGAGCTAGAGAGGAGGGTGCTTTGCACAGAGGAACATGTCTCCCAGGGGAGGAGAGACATGCAAGAGTGAGGGACTGAAAGACCTGGGACCTGAGAATGTGGGCAGGAAAGGGGAATCAGCTGCCTTGGAGCTTGCTGTTTCTTTCCTAGAGCATTTGCTACATTTTGTAATTTATGTGTGTTGCTTATTGTTTGCCTTTGCCCACTGCACTGAGTTTCAACACTGGACACACACTGACCACCCAGAGAGCTTTAAAAAATCATTTCCTGGGCCCTAACAAAGACCAATTGAATCAAGATCTCTGGGATTGGACCTGGGAACTGGCACTTCTTCAATGTGCCCAGGTGATTCTAATGTGCCTGCAGAGTTGAGGACCCCTGTCTCCCAGATCATGAGCTCCATTTCAGCAGGGAACATATCCTGGGATTAACACATGTGAGTGATTGTAGTGACAGAGATAGCTGAAAGGTGACAAAAGGTAGGCAAAAGGTGACTCCGGAAAGGATATGAAAAATCAGCAAGTGGTAGGGGGACAAAGAAAGGGAGCTCAAATCCGCTGAGAGAGAAGATTAAAAAAAAAACCAGGACACTAACTAACCCTTGAGCTCAGATGACCCCAGAAACTCTTTCAGAGGAAGGATAGTAGGTGGGGTGAAGGTTACGATTGTTACAGAACTGGTGTTTGGGATGTATGCCCCCTTCCTCCAAGTACCGAGGCATGAAGAGGTTGCCCCTGGGTGCCACTTAAAGAAGTGGGCAGAATTTGTTCAAGTCTATAAATGTTTAGATCTTTATGCGTGAATATGCAAAGCAATTTGTAGGGCTCTCAACATTTTACCTTAAACTTCAGCTTTCTCCATGCCTAAGTCTTGGTCATGTATATCGTTCTTGATCTATGAGCAGCACATCAATGGCAGGGAGTCCATTCCCTGCTAAATTCCTCCCGGCTAAGAAAGACTACATGGTGATTCATTTTAAATTAAGCATTTACCAAGTCCCTCTTCATGTCTTGCATTGGGAGACAATGGATAACACCCAGTCCCAGTTCTCAGAGATCATATAATTTTGGTGATTAAGATCTCACAGTGGAATCCCTCCCTTTTAAAAAAAAGTTTTAATTGTAGCAAAAACCAAATAACATAGAGTTTGCCATCTTAACCATTTTTAAGTGTACAGTTCAGTAGTTTTAAGTAAACTCATATTGTTGTGCAACAGGTCTTTAGAACTTTTTCGTTTTGCAAAACTGAAACTCTATGCTCATTGAACACCATCTCCCCCCACCCTCCATTTTATGGGTGAAGTAATAATCTGTAAACAAATATTTTAGTGGAATTACTACAACGGCAAGAAGTCCTGCTTTTGTAAAATGAAGGATTTGCTGATGTGCATGTGTTTCTTTTTTCTCATCATCTAGATGAAGTTCCTTCAAGTCATGGACTCCATATTGCCATTGTTTTGCATCTCAACAATTAGCATCTTGGACGGTGTGGACACTGACCATGGAAATCACTTGTGCAAGGATGGGAAGGATTAGGGAGGTAGGTCATAGAAAGGAGTAAACTCGACGAGATGGACTTCCTGGATACCATATCCTTCCTGCGTTCATTTTCCTACTTTGGACAGAGACACGGATACAGGGTATGGTGGTGCAGGTTGTTCATTTTACAATGTCACCCAGATGAGTAGGTAAATGGGGCTGACATCCTGCACTCTGTTTAACAAGCTGAGGAGTGGCTGTCCCCCATGTCTGGACTGGGGACAGAGAAGGCTTGGGTCCTACTAAGTGGTGGGGAAAAGGTGACCTCTTGGGCCCACATGGCATTTCCCCACCAGTCATTCTTCCCTTACCTTGCTGGTGAGACTGGGCCTCTCTCATCTCCAGGTCACGAGTCAGTTCTGGGGGGAGGAGAGAAAAAAAAAGGCAGTCGTGTGTGTGTGTGTGTGTGTGTGTGTGTGTGTGTGTGTGTGGTGTATGAGAGAGAGAGACATACGGAGAGACAGAGGGAGAGAGATCAGGGATTCACAACTCAGTAAAATTGGCAATATTAGCATCCTTAGAAGCCATCTAAACCACTTCCCATGCCTATTTTACTGCAGTTCAGTGAGGGAGAGAGATGAAGAGACGTGCAAGGCACAGCCTGAGCCTGACTGGCCTGATTCTAAGCCCAAAGAACTTTCTAGTGCAAGTGCTATGGGCTGCATTTGGAGATTAGTTCAACCCTTGGACTGAAGAGCCTGGCTTGCTTTCGGGGCTGGGGAAGTATTTGCTCCTTCCCAACCGTGATATACAAATATCTAACATGACAGCCAATCAGAGCCACTCTGGAGGACCCCTGCTGTGCTAAACCGTTAGGGTTTAGTTGGTGGATATGGGAAGGCTGGAGGGTCCTGGGCTGCTTGGGGGCCCTGGAGCGGGATTCAGGGCAGTAGCTATTTACCAATAGGGTACATGCATTTCACTATTTTCACAGCCAGTACTGCTGTGCCTGCGTTATTTTCTGAACATCAGCCCTGCTCCTTTCCAAGCCCTGTTTTCCGCCATGTTTCACAAGGCAAGGAGAGGGGCCTCAGGGAGGACAGCGCCACCTGGTGATGGAAGGCCTACATGGCACTTCCCTTGGAGCTGAGGGGGCGGGGTCAGCCCGCCGAGGGGGCTGGTGTTAAGAGAGGTTTCCTCCTGGGTGCTGGCAGCCCAGCCACCACTCTTGCGCCTCCCTGTCTTCCCAGTCCCCATTCCTTACCGCCCAGAATGCCCCATCCCTCGGCTAGCTGAGTTTGATCATTTTTTTCAGCCTCACCCCAACTCCCCCAAATCCACCACAGCTCAAGAGCTGGGAAAAAGGGCAGGAGGGAGCCCAGCAGCAGCTGGTGACAGAGGGCATCTCCTCTGGAGCAAGTGTGTGTACTTGCAGGGATGCGATCTGGTGCCTAAAGGGAGGAGGTTGTGAACCTGGCAGTGGGATAAGGTAGCAAATCTCTGGGATCAATGTCCAGCAGCACCTAGAGAGTCTAGCCTTGTGGGCCCTCTGCCGCTCCTCACTGGCTCTTCCCTTGGGAGGCCAAATGTTGCTAGGAGACCAAGAGCCAGGGTACCTGGGCCTTTTGCTGTGACCTGAGTCTGAACCTCCTTCCTGGAGCCCCAGGGAGGACCCTGATGCCTCTATCCTCCAGGGCTTCCTGGAGCCAACTTGGCCCCTCCTGCAAGGCCCCTGGGTAGCCCAAGGGATCTGGCTCTGCCAATACCTCCCACTGGAGTGTTTTCACCCTTAATTAGGGAAGTTGGGGGAGGGGAGATAGACTCCTAGTTGGGCTCCACTCCCCCCATCCATCAGATCTCCCTGCCCATCTTCTGGCCAGGGAGGCCCCCACCTTTAGAAGAGCATGCAGTGAGATCAGATACCCTATGTGACCTTGAGCTAGGAATGGCACCTCTCTGAGCCTTAGTATTCTCATCTGTGAAATGGGGACAAAATCACACCTGCTTCTCAAGGGGCTATTGCTAGGATTAAATTAGAGAAAATAAACAGAGGGCCCAGCCCAGGGCTGAGTCAGTGCTGAATACATGGGGCAGTTCTTGTTATCATCCAGGCTGCCCCACCACCCAAAATACACCCACCTGTCTCTTAAACCCCTTCAGTCTGAATGGCACCCCCCTTTTTTTGCAGGCTCTTTCTGAAGCCCTGCCTGCTTGGTTCCTACACTAGTTCATCCTTTCTCCCATCCCCTTCTCAGCCTCTGAGTCCCGATTTATTTTATTTATATATATATTTTTAAAGATTTTATCTATCTATCTATCTATTTATTTATTTACTTACTTACTTATTTGAGAGAGAGAGAGAGAGAGAACCCAAGCCAAGGGAGAGGCTGAGGGAAAGCCCATGCGGGGCTCGATCTCAAAACTCTGAGATCATGACCTGAGCCGAAATCAGGTTGGACATTCAACTGAACCGATTGAGCCATCCAGGCGCCCCTATATATATATATATTTAATTTATTTTATTTTTAAAAATAAGCTCCATGCCCAACAAGAGGCTTGAACTCACAACCCTGAGATTAAGAGCCAGGCACCCCTCTGAGTCCCTGTTTAATCTCCTTGAAAAAATCTTTGTTCTGCTCCCTTCCCCTCACTCCTCTACCCCTTGGAAGAAGGGCCTTATTCAGTTATTTCAGCCCTAAGAGTGGCTGTTCCAGGCCAGCCCAGAGTTATTTTTATCTCCTTAATCAATAACCAAGAGGCTACAGTCCCATACCCAGCTGGAAAGGGTGGTGGGGGCTGTTCCAGCCCTATCACACTTTCTTGGGATTCTGGCCTATGTCCTGCGTGGAAGGACCCAGGTCTTCAGAATTAGGGCAAAGCAAAAAGAAACTAGAGCAAGAGCTCTAGGGTCTTTTTTATTTTTTTAGAGCTGTAGGGTCTTAGGGTACACTCATTCTGATTTTCCTTTCATGTTGCCACTGCAATGAAAAAATGCATCAGGCAAGGGCATCAGGCAGGGGTGAGTCAGTGTGGGCCATCTGTGCCCCCTGGGCTGGCCTCTGCTGCCATCCCAGCTTCAGGGGAGATTGCAGGGAGCCTGGCCTAGGAGTGTAGCTGCTGAATCTGTATATGGAGCCGGAGGAGGGCGTGGTGGTGGAGAGTCAGGATGACCAGCGTCGCATGCCACAGAGTGAGAAGCCAGGCAGGTCTCTCAGTTTCCCTCTAGAGAATGGGGGGACTCCCATGAGCAGAGGCTGGAAGGGAGGTAGAAGTGTGAGCATCTTGGGGAGAGAGTGTGCAGAAAGCTGCAGAGGCATGCACAGCTGAGAGTCTGGAGCTCTGGGTTCTAAACTTGGCTCTGTCACTAGCATATTGTGCAGCGCTCTCTCTCTCTCTCTCTCTCTCTCTCTCTGGATCTCAGTTTACCTACTTGTATAATGAAGACGTTGGGCTGTTCCAACTGACACATTCTATTAGTCACGGACTCTAATGCCTGTACTTGGAGACTCAGCCTGGGTGAGCACTTGGGCCAGAGCCCAGCCTCTGAGAGGGCCAGGCAGCTGAAGCCTGAGGTCCAAGAGCAGAGGTCAGGCCTGGGATTTGGCTTCATTCTTGGTGCCTCCTTCTGTCTTGTTCACAAATCCAGTCAGTTGCCACGTCCTTCCCTTCACCCTGTCTCCCACCAGTCTTCCCCTTTCTACCCCTTTCATCTCTCCCCGGACCATTTCATTGGCCCCATCACTAGCCTCCCTGTCTCCCTTCCCCTCCAATTCATCTTTCATACAACTGCTGAGTTTGGAGTTTCATAATGCAGCATGATGCTCTTCAGAAACATTCAGTGGCTCCCCACTCCCCAGGAGGACAGGCCAAACTTCTCAGCTGTCCTGATACTTGTCAGGGTCTCCCATGAGCTGCCCCCACCCCTCCCCCCAACCCCCCATCCCTCCGGCCTCACCTGAACAGCGTTTCTGCAGCCTCAGGATTTCCAGGTGCAGGTCTCTCAGCAGGGCCATCTGCTCCTTTTTCAGGAAGCTGATGTGGCGTTGCACACTCTGGATCTGATGCTCCAGGGACACGGTATCCATGGCAACCCAGGCCTGGGCCCCACCTGGCGGGAAGATGATAAGGTAAACCCACATCTTGTGGGCCCATCTGCCCCACCCACCCTCAGATCCCTCAGAGTCTCCCGCAATCAGGGCTCCTGTTGCCACCAGGCAGAGAGTTCTACGGCCGCACTCATTTCCCCCATGTTTACTTACCAAAGCGTCACACGTGTGTTGTCAGGGAAGTATAGTTATTCCCATTTAACAGATGAAGAACCAGAAGCCTGGAGGGAAATGGCTGCATGCCCCTGCCTGCATGTAACTTTAGCCTATCTGCTTCTTAGAAAGGAGCACGAATGGAGCTGCAAAGTCAGTGAAGAGAGACAGAGGCAGGCTGTAGCCTGCTTCCTCACCAGCTCTGGGCAAGCCCTCTCCCTCTCTGGGCTCTTGGTTTTCTTGTGCCTAAACTGAGGGAGTTATGGAGTGGAAAAACCCATCCCGCCAGCATCCCAGTTCAAGGGTGCCCACGAGCTGGTAGACCAGCATGATGGTTAGAGCACATCCTCTCCCGGTTCAACTCCATTTCTCTGACTTAACCTTAACCCAGGACTCTGGGGTCCTCTAGGTTGCAGAGGAGGAGGATCTGATGAGTAGTCTACTAACACCAACTCTATGGGCTGAAGGCAGGTGGCAGAGTCCCTTTATGAAAGAGAAGTGGCTGGCTCAGTTGGTAGAGCATGTGACTCTTGATCTCGGGATTGTGAGTTCAAGCCACGTTGGGTGTGGAGATTACTTCAGAATAAAATCTTCAAAAAAAATAAAAGAGGAGTGGGAGAGGTTGATAAGGAGATCCATGCAAATGAATCCATGAATCACATAAGACACTGTGAAGGGAGGGGAGCTCTGTGCCCCTGAATCCTAATGATGCCCTGGCTTTGCAGCCCTCCCCCTTTTGATCCCATCCCTTTCCCAGGAGGTTCCTCCTGTGATGATCACCGTCCCGGAGAAGCATAAGCAGAGGGCAGAAACAGGAGGCAGAGTTCATGCCTTTTCTGCCAGGGACTCCCTAAGCGTTTTTTGTTTTTTTTTTTTAATTTTGGGCAAAAGAGAGAGAGAGAGAGAGAGAGAGAGAGCGCGCGTGCAAGTGGGGGAGGGGCAGAGGGAGAGAATCTTCAAGCAGACTCCCCGCTGAGTGCAGAGCCCAACACAGGGTTCCATCCCATGACCCCAAGACCATGACCTGAGCCAAAACCAGGAGTCTGACACTCAACTGACTGACCCATCCGGGCACCCCTCTCCCTAAGCTTTTGAAGGAGCTGTTTCTACCTGCCCCAGGAATTCCCTGGGCCGTGGAGAGAGAGGCCAGTTGATGGACCGCTCTTTTTGGCAAATGGTCCCCTCCAGATTGACTTCGATGTAAGTCCCTGCAAGTCCAGATTTTCATTTGTAGGGTTGCATCAAGCATGTGCACCTGAGAAACTCAACATTCATAGGTTGGTCTCTTGGGCTCCCCCTTTTTTTTTTTAAAGATTTTATTTATTTATTTGAGAGAGAGAGAGTGAGAGACAGAGAGCACGAGAGGGAAGAGGGTCAGAGGGAGAAGCCGACTCCCTGCTGAGCAGGGAGCCCGACGCGGGACTCGATCCCGGGACTCCAGGATCATGACCTGAGCCGAAGGCAGTCGCTTAACCAACTGAGCCACCCAGGCGCCCATCTTGGGCTCCCTTTCCTTGTATTCCCTTAATCCAACTGAAGAGGCCTTTCATTTCAGCAGGGGGTGGCCCTTTGGCCTTTGGGAACCACTGGCTACATTTACTGACCATCTCCTATGTTTAGGAATTTTATACACATTATCTTACCTCTGCTAACCACTCTTCAGTAAATATTACCACCCCCATTTCACAAATAAAGAAACTGAGGCTCAGAGCCGAAGTGATTTGCGCCAGTTCATATGGTAAGTGGTGGCAGACCCAATTCTCTAACAGTCTTTTGAATCCAAAGTAGGTTCCCAGTATTCACACTGAGGACAGTCCGGGGTTTGAATCCTGAGACTTTTGGTTACCTGCTGTGTGACTCTGGGCAAGAAAATTAACCTCCCTCAATCTTTTTTCCCTTCTCTGTAAAATGGGGCTAATGGTAACAGTCTTGGGATAGTTGTGAGAATTAAATGAGATTAAAAAGTTCAGAGCACTTCTTCTCTGTCTAGTGTGTGGAGTTACAAGGAGTAACCTACTCCATGTCTTGATTTGCTCATTTATTCATTCATACATTCATACATTCAATGATCTACTTATTGCCAACTATGGGGGTATGGGGGACACAGTGATGAACAAAACAAAATTCTTGCTCTCATGGAGCTCACAGGATGAAGAGAATCAAATAAATAAATGCATCAAACAAATAATAATATAAATAATATACAATTATAATCTGTGAAGAGCACCATGAAAGAAACATAGGGTAATGTGAAAGAATATAAAGTGGGATCTATTTTAGATTTGGGGCCAGAGAAGGTCTCTTGAAGGAAGCGATTTTAAGCCAAGACCTTATGGCAGGCAGAATTCTAAGCTGGTCCCCAAGATTCCCAGCCCCTGGTGGATACGTCCTCCTGCATCATCCCCTTTCTTTGAGTGTGGGTGGGACTTTGAATATGATGGATTTCTCTCCTGTGATTAGAAGGGATTTTGCAGTGTAATAAAGGTCTCCAATCAATTGACTCTAAGTTAACCGAAAGGGAGATTATTCCAGGCAGCCGGTTCATAGGGCCCATACTGAAGGAAAAGATCTGAAGCCTGAGAGAAATGGTGCTGCTGGCCTTGCAGGAGTAAGCCACCATGCTGTGAGGCAACCCAGGAAGGAAGGCACAAGGCAAAGACCTGAGAGAGGCTGCTGGTGGCTGAGGATGGTTCCTGGCAGACAGCAGGCAAGCAATGAGGACGGCAGTTTGACAGCTGCAAGTCCATTCTATGGGCTACCTAAGGGATCTTGGAAGTGGATCTTTTCCCTAGTTGAGCCTTCAGATGAGAATGCAGCCAGCCTTAATTTCAGCCATTTGAGACCCTGAGCAAGGACCCAGCTAAAATATGCCAAACTCCAGATCCTTGGAAACTGTGAGGTAACAAATTTATGCTGTTTTAAGCCACTTAGTTTGTGGAAATTTGTTACGCCACAACAGAAAACTAATACAGACTTGGAGGAGGTGTAGGAGTTAGAAGAAGAATAAAGGGAAGAGCATTACAAACAGGGAACAGCATTTGTGAAAGTCCTGGGGTAGGCTAATAATGATAGCTTACATTTATTCAGTGCCTACTATGTGCCAAGCCTTGTGCTAAGAGCTTCACATGGTCTTTTTGGGGGAACAGGGACATTGTCACTGCTGGTGAGGACTAAAGTATAAGATGTCAGGGGAGGGTCACAAGAAGTGAGGTTAGCAAGAGAAGGATTGCATAGCGTCTTGTATACTATGCTAAGAATTTTGGATTAATACTAAATGGATTGGTAAGTTACTAAAGGATTTTAAGCAGAGGAGGGACATGATATGATTTGCACTTTTAAAAGATCATTCTGGCTGCTGTGGGGAGGGCAGGTTAGAGGGGGCAGAGTGGATACAGGAGGTGAGCTGGGAGAATGTTGCAGTGGTCAAGGTGAGAGATGATAGAGGCCTGGGCCAGATGATGGAAGTGAAGACAGGGAGAAGTTCCAGGTTTGGTATTTTGGGGGTAGAATTGTCAGCATGTGGGAATGGATTGGATTAAATCATGATGACGGGGAGGGTGAATGTTCAGGATGTCTCCCAGTTTTCCAGTTTGGGCAACTCAAGTATGAAGGCACATTTGCTGGCTCTTTCTACAGTTCTTCATTTTTCACATAAGACCTCATTCACAATGGACCTCTTCTCTAATCTCTAATCTCTAATCACTCCCTAGGTGATCTTGTCCAATCCTATGGCTGCAAATACTATTTATATGCTGACTCCTACATTAACTATCCCCTGCACGCTAGACTGATTATGTATCACCTCCATTTGGATGTCTAATGGGTCCCTCAAATTTACAAGTCCCAACACTGAGCTCTTGCGATTCATCCTACAAACCTTGCCCACTGTTCACCATCTTGATAAATGGCACCAGTTTTTGCGTGTTCATTCAGTTGCTTAGGCCAAGAACTTAAGAGTTATCTTTGATTCCTCTCTTTCTTCAAATTCTACAGCCAATCCATCTGCAAATCCAGTTGTCTCTACCTTTGAAAAGGTATATGCTTAATCCAGTTAGTTCTCATCATTTCCATTGCTGTCACCCTAGTCCCGGCTACTGCCATCCCTCTGACGTACCCTGCAGTAGCCTGCTGACTGGCTTCTCGCTTCCAGTCTTGCTCCTTGTTTGCCATGCAGAGCTGGGGTTCCTTTAGCAAATCTGATCACATGGCCCTGCTCCCCACTCAAAACCCTCCAACAGCTTCCCATCACACTTAATACCTAATGCAAAATTCTTATCAGACCCTATGCAATTGCCCCTGGCTCTGTTTGCCCTCATCTACTACTATTCTTCCCCTGCTGGCTCCACCCCAGCCACTCTGGCCTCCTTACTATTTCCTGAACCTGCCAAACACATTCTTGCCTCAGGGACTCTGTGCCGTCCCCTCTCCCAGGAATATCCTTCATCCAGATACCCTCATGGCCCATTCCCCCCCTTCATTCAGGATTCTGCTCAAATGTCACTTCCTTAGGGCCCTTCTCTGATTACCTGATTTAAAATAGAACCCTCTGTCACTGTCCATTCCCTTAATCTGCATTGTTTTTCTTCCATGAACTTACCATCACATGAATATACTACATTTTGTTTTTTGTCTATTTCCTCTGCCAGATTGTTGGCAACACAAGATGAAGGACTCTGTTTTGTTTCCTCCTGTTCCCTAGTGCCTAGTACAGTATCTGGCAAATAGAATATACTCAGGAAATACTCGTGGATTGCACCAGTGTGTGAGTTTGTGAAGCTGGGGCAGCCTGACGGAGGAGCAGATTTACAGAGAAGGGAAGATCAAGCCTAAAACATATTAGA